ACCGGGGAAGAGCATCAGGAGGATCAAGCGGCCAGATGAGGCGGAGGCAGGTGTGGAGTAGCGCACAACTACTGCATCTAGGAAATCCTTGGCGTTCGCGACAGTAGGGAAACGCGGATGCTAAAAAAAGGGAAGCGCATAACTAACGGCAAGCTGCGCTACAGCATCGCGAGAATCCTAGACAGCGTGAGCTAGCACAGCAGCAGCAAAGGCCTCACAATCAGCAGTGGTGGGGTCAGCAGGGAGGGGATCAGGGGCGGAGGGCCGAGGAAATAGGCCATCAACATGCATGGCCATCGAGTGCCCATCCTGGCGCTGACCTGTCAGGTGCCGGCGGAGATCGACAAGCCAGGCGGCGAAGTCGATCGCGTGCCCTGTCCCTCCGCGTTCAGACGGAGCATGGCGTCCACCATCACGCAACCACAGCGGCACAGCGGCACAGGGACTCCGGGGCACGGCGGCACAGGGAATCCGTGGCACGGCGGCACAGGGACTCAGCGGCACAGCGGCAGGACCCTACGGAACTGAACCAAAAGGAAGGCCGAGGAGGGCGTGGGAGGAGTTGAGGCGCACAGGGGGCCGGTGTGTGGAGAGGGGCCGGCAGGGCGCATGGGGCCGAAGGTACGCAGGAGAGGGGCCGGCTAGGTGGTAGGGGCCGGCTAGGTGATAGAGGCCGGCTGGGCGCAAGGGGCCGGCTAGGCACGAGGGACTGGCTAGGCGCGACGGGCCGACTAGGTGCGAGTGGCCAACAAGGGCACGAGGGGCCGGTCAGGCGCAAGGGGCCGGTGCGGCGTGAGGGGCCAGCTAGGTCGCGAGGGGCCAGCGAAGGCGCGAGGGGCTGGAGACGGCGTGAGGGGCGGGCCGGCTAGGGGCTGGCGACGGCGAAGGGGCCGGCTGAGCGCTAGGGGCAGGCGACGACGCGAGGGGCCAGCGAAGGCGCGAGGGGCGGGCCAACTGGTCGCGAAGGGGCCGGCTGGGCGATAGGGGCGGACGACGACACGAGGGGCCAGCTAGGGTGCGAGGGGCCAGCGAAGGCGCGAGGGGCCAGCGACGGTGCGAGGGGCTGGCGACGGCGCAAGGGGCGGGCCGGCTGGTCGCGAAGGGGCCGGCTGGGTGCAAGGGGCCGGCTAGGGCGCTGGGGGCTGACGAGCACACTAGGGGGCCGGCTACAGCGCGAGGGGACGGCGGGCACGCTAGGGGCCGGCGGGCGCGCTGGGGGCCGGCGAGGTGCGGTAGGCTAGGGCGCGGGGCGGAAGCGGGTGGGTGGGGACCTAACCTACGCATGATACCATGTTAGAATACTAGAATAATAGAAAGAAGACAGAACAAGGGAGATACAGTGTTGGGGTTGTACCCACTAAGAACATACACGTATCTAGCCTATAACTTCTACATAACAACGTATGTATAAGTTGACATGGACGAGTAGTGCCGCCCTGGTTTTGCTCTTGCCTTGTTTGTACTCGTTTGACTGGTCTTCATACCCTTGTCTCCAAGGTTGGACTAGTAGTGCCACCTTGAGCTGCTTGTCTCTCACCAAGCACTACCCCTATCTAGTCTAGGGGGTGTGTCAAACATATCTTTGTATGTTGTTATAGACTACACAGGGTTGTGCCTTAGAGAGTACAACCCACTAGGTTATATTCCCTTGTATGTTATGGTTTTAGTTATTCGTTAACTTTGATATCCGCCACCAGATCCACTCGGGAATGACTGGTATTGCAAGCCAATCAGAGCCAACACACAAGGGCCTCAGATTTCAGGCAAATTTCCCTGATTCGGGGGTTTTTTTCAGAGGTTTTTTTGGTACCGACCCTGATGCGCTAGGATTTTTTTTTGACACAACCCTGAAATTTCAGGGTTTTTTTTATGAGTGAACTCTGTTTGTACAGCGTTGCAATTGTAGTAGGCCATGTAGCCTTAGCCTAACGGGCAGCTACCCCTGAATCATATAGCAGCGTGATTCTGGGGCCTGCCATAATATCCTAAAGTTTAGGGCTAGCGTGTGTTCCGCCATGTGTGACGCACACATTGGGCGTGTGTTGGCTTGGCTTTGTTAGGCCGAGATTTCCTCCTCCCGCCCCTGCAATCTTGCTCAGCTATGCGATTGTATCGATCGGCGAAATTTGATTGGCCGCAGCTTCGTGAAAGTGTCGCTACAAAAATTGATGGCTTCAACATCATCATGATTCCCGCGGGAATCCTCCCTCCCTCCATTCCCCCCCTATGAGAGTACGACCCCGTTCCATTCTCTTCTCCTTTCCATATTCCCTTTCCATTTCATTCCTATTTTTATCTCATTCCATTTGGGTTCCTATTTCTCCTTTTCCATTATCCTTTGGTTTATCCTGTTATTTTCATTATATCACTGACCAGGCTCGAGATGTACTGGTGCGCTCTATCTAGCATAATCATGCCGTAATCCCTTAAATCCAAAAGCCTCGCTTGGCTATACGCAGGGTGATTCTATTTTCTAGAAGGGTCTATTCCCTTGGGATAAGATAAACCTGGTTACCTGATGTACTTTAGAAGTATAAAAGCGCCTTGTACTGATCGATAGTGCAACCTTTCCTCGACACATTCAATCCTGTAACACTTGGTAATCAGAGCTTTTCTCACTCGGCCGCGCTCAAAAAAAGCAGCAGCAGCGGGAAAACCTGCCTCGCAAAAACCGATGGGGGCGACCAATTCGACGCCGATTCTGGTAAGCACCAGCTCCGCGCTTTTTCGAATTACCCCCCCCCCCCCCCCCCCCCGCACGTGTTTTGAACAGGATGGCAACCTTCGACAACGCCGAGGTTACCCAGCAGCTCTTCGCGAGCATCGCAGCCCTTCAGGAGGAGATGCGAGCGGATCGCGAAGTGTGGCGAAACGAATTCGAGCGAGTAACTCGACTCGCCGGAGTGCAACACGAAACGACAACGGCGACGACGCAGCAGTCGCAGCGGTTTCTCGAGGCTCCAAAACCGCGCCCACCTGAGCCGAGCGATCGAAACTCCGACGTCCGCAGATGGATCGCCGGGATGGAGATCTACTTCGCAGCCGTCGGATGGAGCTCGCCAGTCTGGGACGGTCAACGCGTACGACTCGCAGCGACGCTGATGCGAGGACTGGCACTCGAGTGGATTGGCGGTAACAGCACGTTCATCCATGGCGAAGCCACGTGGCAGCAGTTCCGCAACGACCTGCTAAAACGTTTCGAGCCGATAAATTCGGGTTTCCTTGCCCGGGAAAAAATTCATCGCCATCAACAGTTCGGGAGTGTAGCGCAGTACACGCAGCAGATGGAGGAATTTTATATCTGCATTCCCGACCTGACTGAAGGGGAAAAAATACAGTCTTACTTCGCCGGGTTGAAGACCGAAGTCAAACGACAAGTGGCAGCGACAAACTACGCGAGCTACAGTGATGTCGTATCGGCCGCGGAACGCTTCGGCATGGTCAACGCCGGGACACGATGGGCGCACGTCGGCAGTACGCGACAGGGCGACCGCTCGGCTCACCCCAAGTTCGCCGACCCGATGGAAGTCAACAGGTTCAAAGGGCGGCCACGTCCGAAAAACGCCAACTTCACGTGTGATTTTTGCGGGGTGCCGGGTCATCGAATCTTCGAATGCAACAAAATGAAAGCCGCACGCGCTGAGTATCGGGCACGCAATAGTGGCGGAAATCCTTCGGCTAATCAGAAGCCAAAAAACAGGATTCGCCAGTGATTGCGGATCTAGCTGGCAAAAAAGAAAAGATCCGAAAGCGGTCGCGGACTTCTGGAAAAATCGACTTCGACGCAACTGATTCGACGCGAACAGGAGAAAATGATGGGGAAAAATCTCCACCCCACGACCAGTCTTTGCTAGAGGAATTCGCCGAGGGAAAATCTAACTCCGCGGAAAAGGACTCTGCCAAGACGGGGGAACTCCTTGAAGACCCAAGAAATTATAAGGATTCAGTAAAGTTATCTTATAAAGATGCTTTAATGAAAACTTGTAATTCTCGAAGGGCTAGAGCCTTGGAGAAAATTCGGGAGGGACTCCAGAAGAAGCAGAAAATTGTGGAGATCATACCGGTACCGGAGAACTTGGAGACCAAATTAAGGAGTGTGGAAAGAAGCCGACCTTTCCACGGAGTCAACGTCCCCTCCCTACACCAGCCCACAGCGACTACCCGTTCCCCAGGGATGACGTCGGTGGAGCTGAAGCAGCTCAAAAGGAAGTTGGGGGTCTACAAGAAGCTGCAAAAACCCCGAAATCCTTCTTCGGATGCATCCAACTCGGCAACTCTGTCAACGACACGCACAGTTGTCATGGAAACTCCGGGCCCTGGAGAAGAGCCTTTCTCCAAGCAGCCTCGGCCAGCTGCCAGCTCAGGAGTAGGAAGTAACGAATATTGGGATGTACCCTATGACCCAATCAATGAAACTATCTTTGGGTACTCTGAGCAACGACTGCCCCTCGTGCTCGAGGTCATCTGCAAAGGACGACGCCTCCAAGCACTCGTGGACACCGGAGCATCGCACACCGTATGCGATAATGCAACCATCGACCGACTTCGAGAAGAGTACAAGCCATCAGCATTTTCTGCAACGATGGTGGATGACAGCAAGTTACCAGTATACGGCGAAGCAGTGCTACACCTACAAATTGGACCACTACGCTGGAAACCTGCACTCCCCATCGCCAACATCAAAGGGCTTGATCTGATCTTCGGAACCTCCAGGGAAAATCAAGGATTTACTGAAGGAGTTCCAAGACATTCTCCCCGACGACCTCCTGGACGAGCTACCGCCATACCGAACGCACCAACACGAGATGGTGGAGGAACCAGGTTCTAAGCCGACCTTCCGAGCACCATATCGGCTCAGCCCCACCGAGCTAGCCGACATGAAGAAGCAGATCGAGTATCTCCTCGCCAAAGAACTCATCCGACCATCCACTTCGCCATACAGTGCCCCAGTACTCTTCACACCGAAACCGGACGGAAGCCTGTGCATGTGCATCGACTACTGAGCTCTCAACATGCAAACCATCAAGAACAAGTACCCGATTCCACGAATCGATAATCTGCTCGACCAGCTTCGGGGAGCCACGGTATTTTCAAAATTAGACCTGCGGTCCGGATACTGGCAGATAAGGATGGTGGAGGATTTTGTTCACAAAACAGCTTTCCGAACTCGCTATGGATCGTACGAGTATCTAGTGATGCCGTTCGGACTCACCAACGCACCAAGCCCACTCTTGGACGAATGCGTGGTGGTGTACCTAGACGACATCCTCGTCTACTCGCACGATATGCAACAGCACGTCGAACACTTACGATGCGTCTTCCAGATTCTTCGACGGGAATGCTTCTACACTGGCGGAAAGTATTGCCCAGATAAAATCCAATTTTAGGTTGAATCGTTGAAGAATTTTAGATTTGAATGCTTTCAACCGAGGTATCGTTGAATCTTCAAAGCTGACTAGTAAGTAACGAGTTCCAGTTGCATTAGGGTAACATGCTTGCAATTTGAAGGGGTCACACCAATAGTGTGGACAAGATTTCAGTCGCGTGAGTGCATCCGGACAGTTTCGGCCAAGCAGCGGACTAGATCCGTTTTCGACTAGCGCATTCTCTCCATAGTTCCTAACGCAATCGTCGATTAGTCAGGATAGAGTTTATACCCGAGGCTTAGACTAGGCCAAGATGAGACCGACAGATGAGGCTCGTCACGCCCGGATCATAACACTGTTGCGTAGGGGGTATAGCACAAGGCGAATCGCGAAGCAGGTTGGCGTTGGGAAAAGTACAGTACATGATGTCGGACTCAAGGCGATTACAGAGAATAGTCTTGAGGACGTGCGTCCTACAATGCCCACTGCCGGTCGTCCACGCGTACTTACGAATAGAATTCATCGTGGGATCGTCAGGGCGATCACTAGCGGCGAGGCAAAAACCTCGAGGCATGCGGCCCAGATCGTCGAATCCCAGCAAGGCATCACGGTGCATCCTAGGACGGTGCGTAATGCGCTCAAATCCAGCGGCCTTATCGCAGTTCAGCAGCCTAAGAAGCCGCGACTCTCCAAGAAAAATATCCACGATAGGCTGGCGTTCGCACGGGCCCACGCGGATTGGACCATAGATGATTGGTGACGGGTGATATGGTCGGATGAGACGAGGATTAGTAGGTTCTGCTCTGACGGCCGCGCGTACGCCTGGGTTCGTGAAGGTACGACTCTCCAACACCACCAGATCAAGCAAACCGTCAAACACGGGGGCGGCGGCTTGATGATCTGGGGATGTATGACGTTTGAGGGGCCGGGTTTCATGTGCAAAATCGATGGTCGGATGGACGGGCCGCTGTATCTGAGCATTTTGCAAGACGAGCTGAAGAATACCATCGACTTTTACAAGCTAACCCCCTCGGATGTGATCTTCCAGCATGATAACGACCCCAAGCATAAGTTCCGTGTGGTGCAGCAGTGGCCCCAGGAGCAGGAGTATGGGGTCCTGGAGTGGCCGGCAGGAAGTCCTGTTCCGAACCCCATTGAGCATTTTTGGGCTCATCTTAAAAGGGAGCTGGGTAAGCATGAGACACCTCCCACTGGTATGGTGGACCTGTGGGAGCGTGTACAAGAGGACTGGGAGAAGATCCCATCAGAGGTGTGCTCCAATTTGATCGACAGCATGCCCAGGAGGGTGAAAGCAATGATTAGGGCTAAAGGGCGGTGGACTAGGTACTAGTTTAAGGGTTGTTCAAGTTGCTGCTTCCGCCTGGAACTAATTGTCCACATGCACCGTGATTGGTTATGTCTGCTTTTTACTGTTAACGATAGTAGTTTCATCAAATGTGAAGCATTTTTTTGTGTCCCTAGATTGGCCTGCATATAGTGGGTAATGCCTCCAATTAAGGCTTAATGTACAAATGCCCTTTAACGGTGGAAATTCGGAAAATTGCAAAACATGTGGACAATTCTTTCCGTCAGTGTACATCAAACTATCCGAGAGCGACTTCGCCCTCGAGAAAGTCCAATTCCTCGGACATATCGTAAGCACTCAAGGAGTTCACGTCGACCCCAAGAAAATCGAAGCCGTGCGTACGTGGAAGACACCCGAGAACGTGAAGGAGTTACAGCAGTTCCTTGGCTTTGCTAACTACTACAACAGGTTCGTGCCGCAATACGTGAAAATTGCCGCGCCACTCACGAATCTGCTGAAGAAGAACACGCCCTATAAATGGGAGCCAAAACACCAGGAAGCCATGGAGCAGCTGAAACAAGCACTCACGTCCGCACCAGTACTCGTCTTGCCAGACCCCGAACGCGACTACGTCATCGAAGCTGACGCCAGCGACCAGGCAGTGGGAGCAGTCTTGATGCAAGACCAGGGGAATGGACTGCAACCAATCACCTATCTCAGCAAGAAACTACACGGGGCAGAACTCAACTACCCGATACACGACAAGGAGGCCCTTGCTATCATCATTGCCTTCAAAACGTGGAGATGCTATCTCGAAGGACGCAAGACGACAGTCTACACCGACCATTGCAGCCTAAAATATTTGAAGACGCAACCAAGCCTCTCTAGACGACAGGTTCGGTGGATCAACTTCCTCGAGACGCACTTCCACTACGACATCGTGTACAAGCCTAGCCATAAAAACAAAGCCGATGCGCTGAGCCAGCCTGCACATGTTGCCGCTATCCAAGTTGAAGGGGCGAATCCACTCCTCAAGGGACTCTTCACACACGGGTACACCATCGACCCCGAAATTCCCTTGACAGAAAAGCGACATCTGCTACAGTGGGAACGACATCGCGTACCGGAAAGGATCAACGAAGATCTGGGTACCTAATTACCCTCCATTGCGCCAGTTACTACTCGAAGAATACCACGACGTCCTATATGCGGGACACTTCGGTAGCAACAAGACGCTCACCGGTATCGCCAAACACTACTATTGGCCCCACATGGCAGATGACGTACAGAAATTCGTCACCTCGTGCACTACATGTTAGCAGATGAAGAGCAGCAAGCAGAAAAAAGCGGGACTGCTACAGCCTCTTCCTGTCCCACAACAGCCATGGCAAGTGGTCAGCCTAGACTTCATCACCGAGCTACCCACTACCACAAGCGGTCATGACGCGATCCTCGTCGTCATTGACAAGTTCTCCAAAATGGGACACTTCATCCCAACACACATGACAGCACGCACCGAGGAGACGGCTCAACTCTTTGTTCGTTACATCATCTCATAACATGGCATTCCAACCACACTCATCTCCGACCAAGACCCTAAGTTCACCAGCAAATTTTGGAAAGAACTGATGTCTCTACTCGGAACCAAATTCGCCATGTCATCCGCCTACCATCCGCAGACAGATGGACAGACCAAGCGCCTCAACCAAATTGTGGAGCAACTCCTCCGCGCAGCCTGCAAGGACGAAATCTCCAAATGGGACTTGCATCTGCCCGTCCTGGAGTTTGCCTACAACAATGCTACTCACACCGCTACTGGACAGACGCCATTTTTCCTCTGTTACGGACGCCACCCACTCACACCTCAATAGCCAAACATACTAGCCACAGTCCAACCCACTCATGATTTCATCACGAATACGCACAAACTTTGGGATCGGTCCCACAAGTGCCTTCTCGACATTCAGCAACAACAGAAGCGCCAGGCCGATGGCCACCGCACAGACCACACCATCACCGTGGGAGATCGAGTCCTACTCAACACACGCAGTCTTGACATCAGCCATCTCCCATCCAAACTGCGACCTCGCTTCTGCGGGCCCTTTCTCGTTGAAGCACAGGTCACTCCTGTTACCTTCCGCTTACGCCTGCCAGCTACCTGGAAGATTCACAACGCCTTCCATGTCCAACTCTTGAAGCCCTACCACGATCCCAACACGGTTTTCTCTGGACGCGAACCGCCGCCGCCGCCGCCCGTCCTCATCCATGATGAACCCGAGTACGAGGTCGAGTCCGTGCTTGCTCACCGCCGTCGACGGAATGGCACCGTGGAGCTTCTCATCCGCTGGAAGGGTTATGATCCTTCAGAGGATAGCTGGGTCTCTGAATCCGAGATGGATCACGCTCGTCGTCCTCTTCGCGACTACCTTGTCAAGCAGGGTGTTACGTCGACCACCCAGCTTTGAGGGCGGGAAGTGTGAGAGTACGACCCCGTTCCATTCTCTTCTCCTTTCCATATTCCCTTTCCATTTCATTCCTCTTTTTATCTCATTCCATTTCGGTTCCTATTTCTCCTTGTCCATTTTCCTTTGGTTTATCCTGTTATTTTCATTATATCACCGACCAGGCCCGGGATGTACTGGTGCGCTCTATCTAGCGTAATCCTGCCGTAATCCCTTAAAGCCAATAGCCTCGCTTGGCTATACGCAGGGTGATTCTATTTTCTAGAAGGGTCTATTCCCTTGGGATAAGATAAACTTGGTTACCTGATGTACTTTGGATGTATAAAAGCGCCTTGTACTGATCGATAGTGCAACCTTTCCTCGACACATTCGATCCTGTGACACCCCCCACTTTCTCCCATCCCTGCCCTCCCCGAATGTCGTTTTGCCCATCTCCCAATTTTCTCCAAATCAGCGGATTTTTTTTTTGGGAGGCCTGAAAAATCAGGGTAAACATGGGGGAGGTGTTAAATTCTACTTTATATATATAATTTTAGGCTTGGTAGGTCTTGCTGGATCCTACTGTAGAGGGTACAACTCCCTCCTTGTAGCCTCGTTCATCTAATCTCACCCTCTTCTCTCTCGACATTCTCTCCTAGCTTACTAAAACCTCACGCCATTCATGGCTTCTCCCCCTTGCTAGCTAATTTTAACAAGGGGAACCCTAAGCAATCACGGTACCTTTAAACCAATCTGAGGCCCTGCAACACACTGAGCGAAATTCGCGCTTCTGGTTCGGGAGGCGCTCGGGAGGGACACGGCATAAACTCTGATATGGAAAACCCCCGTTTAAGGGCGAATTCCTATGAAGTAGGATCACAATCAATAATGTTCCTAATCCACGCCAAACGAGACAGGGAAGTGCACGCTCCAATCACGAGCAAGGGATTTTCGAAGCCAGCAGAAGCACAAACAGAATTCGTTTTTTTGCCCGCTGCGTGCCATATGTGATCTTCGCTTTTTTCTTTTTTTTTTTTTTTTTTTTTTTTTTTTTTCCGTTTCGCTGCGCGTCGTTTGTCAGCGCGCTTTCGTTTGCTTGGCGTGAGTTGGGGCCTGTTTCGAATGTGTTTGTAGGAGCAGCCAATCGGACGTCCCCATGTGACGCTGAGGTGGCTGCCCTCGTTTCTGATCTTGGCGTAACAAACAGGAAATGAGATCAATAATGAAATTAGCGTTTCTGATTCTGATCCTACTTTGTAGGAATTCGCCCTAACATACGTTTTGACAAAAATGTTATGCGCCTATAGGAAATACATTTTCAAAATATGGGATATAAGCGCACTTGCACTCCATAAGCGCAATGGGCCAAATAAAGGGATGTGCCTATATCCCGGGGATTACGGTAGTAACTTTTCTACTCTGAAACATTTTGCCAAGGTCCAGTCACGCCCGTCACACTTGCTCCAACTCGCGTCAAACTGACTGCGTCATTTTGGCGCAGGACAAGTCACGCCCCCCACAACTGCTCCAGCTCGCCTCAATCAGTCAGATAGGATTATGTTCTAGGCTGGAAATCCGTTAAGGCTGATAATTCAAGTTGACCAAAACAAGAACATACAATATTTCATGTCTGCTCAGATGAGAACCCCTAAAATTCAGGCCTAGGAAAAATCAAAAGCTGGAAAAACAGGATGACCCTAAAAATGCACCCTGCTATACAGCATTTCAGGGCATTTGTCCTGGCTTCTGAAACCCTGTCCTAGAAACACCTATTGTTTTGGGTTGGAATTTATCGATCTAGACAGCGTGTTCATGCGTCAGATTTAAAAACATGTTTTGGGTTTTAAATATCTGTTACAGATTTGAACACACTTTTTGCTTTTAATACAGGTTGGTAAGTAGCAAGCGATCAAGGCCTCATATTGGTTTTTAGTCACCCTGATCGATCAAGGTGGACTGCAGGAAAAAAACTTTCGGTCAGCGTCGGTACATTAAACAACCCTGATTTTTCAGAGTCGGTACTAGCGCTTGCGCTGATGAATCAAGGTAGTAACTGCAGCTAACACTGATCTTAGCAAAGGGTTGGGATTAATAAGCATTTGCATAGCTACTTGTCTGTCACACACATGCTATGGTGGAAGGGAATTATGATGCATTCAAGTTCAGGGAAACTAGCAGCGGTAAGCAACATAACATGCAATAAAGTTATAACTCTCCTCTAGATAATTACCTATGGCATTGTGCGCCAGCAGTTTTAACTTGTGCATGTTTCAAGCTCATAACCTAGCTTATGGTCGAAATGTTCATGCCACACTTTCTACTCTTCTTCCTCATCATCCCAACAATCCTCTGGCTCTTCACCAACAAGCTCAGTATCTTCTTCTTCATTCTCCTTTGCTGGAGCCTCTACAACCTTCTCCTTCCCCTTCTTGGTCGTGGGCTGCTTCTTCAGTCGTGCAATCAGGTTGAAGGGCTTGCGCTTCTTGTAGCTGTGCCAAATGCCCACGATCTCGTCCCAGTTAGGGTCGTACTCTAGAAGTGACATAGCCATGAGATCAGAGAGCCGTGCATCCTTGATTGCACCTCTCTGCCTACTCTTGATGACGTTTTGCCCAGAAAATCCCCTCTCACATTCAACTGTACTCAAGGGCAGAACAGCGACAGCAATCCACAGCTTGAACAAGTTTGGATACGCATCCTGTTAGTCAGGAGTCTTCAGCATCACTGTGAGACTGGGGAAGAAAGTCTTCTCTGTCTTCGGGGCAGCAGCTCGGACCAGGAAGAAATTGCGCAGCTCCTTAAAGCCCTTGCGCTTGTCAATGCCTGCCAAGCACCACGCATAGTGTGGGAAGAATAGAGGGCAACATTGGCATAGAGTACAAGTACGAGGTCACATGCAGAAAACGAGCAGAAACAGGACAAGACTAGACATGAAATATTGGCAAGTACAATACAGGAAAGTCGAAAGAGACCTGCAGGCTGAGCACGCACCAGGTAAGATCTCATCCGACTGCTGTGCCCTGAACAACGGTACCAAAGAGATCAAGTTCTCCCTGCAGTACTCATTACGTTACTGCCGCCCAAGCGGCCACCCATCCACAATGAACAGCCGCACTCCAGAGAGAGCCTTCAGGTCACCAAGCCGGTCCTGCAAATTCTGGACCATCGTTTCCGCCATCGCTGTCCCAAGATCCACACTGTGGTCTTCGCTGAATGGGCCATCATAGCCCTCCAATGCATCATTGTGCAGCGTGTAGGTGTGTGTCGTTGGCCGCCCATCCCCGTCCACACCCTCCACAGTCACCTCCCTTGTGCCGCCCTCCCCATGCTTCTTCAGGAACTTCGAAAGGCGCACGCTTACGCCCCCACCAAACTCGTCGCCGCAGTCAATGTAGCGAGATTCAATGAAGGTGGTGGTGCGGATGATCTGCGACTGAATGGCGATTAGGTCAAGCTGCCAACACAGGAAAGAGATCCAGAGAAACGTCAGCTCAGACGAAGATGATAGAAGGAAGTCACCACATGCAAAGGGTTGGACACAAGTAGGCAGGTTCAATACTGTCAGAGCGTGGGAGGTGTACAAAGCTCAAGACACACCTTGCGCTGCTGGAACGTCTTGTTAAAGACGTTCAGCTGCTCAAGTAGGTCGGCAAGGTAGAACAGAAGGAACTGGAAGGTGAAACAAGTCACGATCTTGTACATGCGGTGGTAATCAAACTCGTACAGCATGACAATGACTCCAGGCAAGACTGCAACCAACCTGAGGACTGCCTCACCACGAGGCAGCCACCAGACGCTGCAGATTCCCTGCAGTTCGAGGCTGGTTTGGCTGAACATTTCCTGCAGGTCAAGGAACCGCTGATGCC